CAGTGGCAATAGGGACATAGGTGACCTGGGGCATTGGCCTGGTGGCCACAGGGACATGGATGATGCAGAAGGTTGACCTGGTGGCTGTAGGGACACTGGTGACCAAGGACATTGGCTTTGTGGTGACAGGGACATGGTTGACTGAGGACATTGGCCTGGTGGCCATAGGGACACAGAACATCACTGGTTACCTCCATTCCCACAGAAACATGTGGCAAAAGACACCTAGATCCCACCATGACCTAGACCAGTGTTGACCTGGTGGCCACAGGTGCTGGAGAAGCTGGATCAGAGCTTGACCACCACCAGCCCTGGCCCAGGAGGTCCCTGGGCAGGGACACTGAGGCCTAGGAGAGCTGGTCCTGCCTCAGGCCAGGCCCCAGCCCCATCCTCTGTCCCCACAGACGGAGGAGGACAAGAAGAATCTGCTGCGGCTGCAGGACCTGGTGGACAAACTGCAGATGAAAGTCAAGGCCTACAAACGGCAGGCGGAGGAGGCGGTGGGTGATGGGGAGCGATGGGATGGGTGGAGGAGTAGGTGGGATGGATGGATGGTGGGACAGGAGAAAGAAGAGGAGGAGTTGGAGGAGGAGGAGAAAGGAGGAGAAGGAGAAGGAGAAGGAGAAGGAGAAGGAGAAGGAGAAGGAGGGATGGATAGATGGTGGGACAAAAGGACGGGTGGTTGGATGGATGGACACCTGGAAGGATGGATCGACACCTGGTGGCCATGGAGCAGCCATACTGACCTCCACCCCATACCCCACACCTCCAGGAAGACCAGGCCAACACCAACTTGGCCAAGTTCCGGAAGGCACAGCACGAGCTGGAAGAGGCAGAGGAACGTGCCGACATTGCTGAGTCCCAGGTCAACAAGCTCCGGGCCAAGAGCCGGGACATGGGACCCAAGGGGGGACCCCCCCCCCCCCCCTGCACACAGCCACCCCATGGCTGCCCCACAACCACCCTCAGTCTCACACCTTCTCTCCCACCCCACTCCAGAAGCTGCACGATGAGGAGTGACCTCCACCATGTGGGATCCAATGGCGTGGGACCCACCATCAGCATGAGTGACCCACCAGGAGTCATCCCACCCACCCCTCCCCCATCCAAGATGGGGGGTCCTAACGATGTAGAAGTAGTTAATTAACTAATTAATTAGGACCAGAAGGACACAAGCTCTGGGGAGTGGAGGAGGGGGAGACACAATGTCCTCTTGCCACCCCACCCCAAAAACATGACCACAGAGAAGCATCAAAGGGATTGAGATGGCTTAAATGGGGACCAAAAGTGGGGATGGGGCCATGGGGTGGGGCTGAGGGGTGGGGCTGTGGGGCGGGTCCACAGGGCATGATGGGACACCAGTTGGGGGCGGGGGGAGGGCTGTGGCTCCCAGTTGGGTCAGCTCCACGTCGGGGTCTGGAGGACAAAAAGGGGGTTGGAGGAGACAGGGGACAAGGAGGGGCCCTCGCATCCAGGTAACACTCCCCCTGTCCTGCTCCTCCCCTGGCTCCCACGCCCCTCCCCTACCCCACCTTGTGCCACCCCTGGGGTCACCTTGGAATGAAGATGAAGGAGAGGATGAGGCTGAAGATCTGGGGAGGAGAAGACCCTGAGGTGGTGGGGCTTGTGGGGGGCGGGTTGGGGACAGGGCAGGGGCCACTCAGGAAGGTGGGGGTGGCCAAAGGGTCCTGGGAGGTGTCTGGGGCCACCAGGGTCACCAGGAGGAAGGTGACGGTGCTGCTGATGGCCTGGAGGAGGTCCTGGTGGGGGAACACCATGGTGACATGAGAGGGAAAAGTGACACCATGGGGACATGAGAGTGGACAGCATAGGGGAGACACTGGGGGGATAGTGGGGACACCATGAAGGGGACACAATGGGAACGTGAGAGAGGACACCATGGGGGGACACCATGGGGACATTGGGGACACTGTGGAGGGGACACTGGGGGGACATGAGAGAGGACACCATGGAGGGTGTCCCAGTCCATCCCAGTCCCCTAGTCCCTGGTCCTCCCAGTCCCTTCTAGTGCCTCCAGTGGCCTCAGGTCCTCCCTAGTCCCAGTCCCTCCCAGTGTCCCCAGTCCCTCCCAGTCCATTCCGCTCCCCCAGTTCCTTCCAGTCCCCTAGTGCCCATTCCACCCACTTCTTCCCAGTGTCTCCAGTCCCCAGACAGAGCTCCATGCGGTCCTGGTGCCCTCTTCCATGAAGGGCAATGCCCCATCCAGGTCAAGACATATGGCATTATCTTGATGTCACACCCCCATAAGACCCCCTAGTTCCTCTAGGAGGTGAGTCACGGACACCTTCTTCCTCCAGTAGCCAACTGGGAGATCTGGGCTCTCTGTTCTCCAGCCCATTCTTAGGCCCTCAAAAATCCAGGGCTCCCGGTGCTCTCTACTGGGTGGTTACTCTCTCTGCTCTCACCGGCCCCTGGGACACTTTCTCAGTGGTCTCCCTCAGTGGGACCCCTTAACACCACAAGGACCTTTAGAGTTCAAACCTGACTTGGAGAGTCCTGGAGAGGTTTCCTCAACTTTTTCTCAGCCTCTGAGGTTCATGGACTCAGCTCCAAACCCAAAGAGAGGGCATTAAAATGTCTTGGGTTGGTCTTTGCTGCTGAGCTGGGCCTGCCTCCTGGGATGGAGGGAACCCCTGGGGTGGAAGGAGCTCCTGGGATGGAGGGAGCTCCTGGCAATGGGACAGTGCTGCAGAGAGACAGCTCTGCACAGGATCAGCTCTTGGTCATGCTCAATCTGGTCATGAAAAACTGCAGCTCTTGCACTTCTGGCTCTTCCTGGGCATCTACCTAGCTGCCCTCCGGGCAATGGACTCATCATCACCACCATCACCTGTGACCATCGCCTCCACACCCCCATGTACTTCTTCCTCCCCAACCTCTCTGTTCTTGACTGTCCCCAAAGCCATGGCTAATTCCCTGTGGAACACCAGGGACATCTCCTATGCAGGATGTGCTGCACAGGTCTTTTTTTTCCCCGTCTTGATGGTAGGGGGAGTGTTGTTTTCTTACCTATGACCACTATGTTGCCATCTGCAAATCCCTGCACTATGGGACCCTCCTGGGCAGTAGAGCTTGTGTCCACATGGCAGCAACCACAGTCACCACTGCAGTCACATCCCTGTCTGGCCAGGGACTGAGGGCAATTTGGGGTTTCCATCAGCGTGCGAGGTTCTTGGAGCATCGTGGCTTTGGTTCACATTCCCATCCCATGCCTGGCCCAGCCCTGCATATCCACAGGTGGCCCCAGAGCCCTGCTGTACACGTACCACTTGGGACAGGGTGCATTCAGGTTTGGGAAAACATCCTCCCAGCACGGTCCCCACAGCACACCCCCAGTGCTCCATTCCCCTGTGGCCATCTGGCTTTTATTTCTTACCTCAGGACCCCACCTCTTCCCTGTCTGGCCCGTGTCCCACATGAGGGTTTGCAGAAAGCCCTTCTCTGTGGCCTGCCAGGGTCTGGGCACATGTGAGCCCATGAAGTTGTGGATGTTCCCCCAGGGCAGACACTTAGTTCAGCAAGAGGATGGAGCTGGTCACATTTCAAAGCTCAGCTCTTACCAGGCCCATGGTGAATGTTCAGGATTAGAAATGACTGGAATGGGGATTGGGGACCAGTGCGACTTTGACTTAAGGGTTAGCACATGGGGTGGAGGAGGCTGAGGGACAGCAGCAAACTCACGTGGCTTCTGAGACACACTGCCTTCAATGAGGCTGTACAGATATATATAAACATTTATAATGCCAAAGGAATCCCAGAGAAGCTCCAAAAAATTGACAGTTCTTCTTGCAAAAGACTTTGGGGCTGCAGGCTTTCTTGGCCGTTGTAGTGTCAAAACCACCTTTTGCCATTTGTCAGGTCTGGGCTCAGAGACTGGCCGAACGGTTGGAGGTGGCTCTCAAAGTCAAAGTCTGGGCAAGATTAATGTTTCACATATGTGACACCAATTTTATTTCTTGGCATGTCAGGTTCCAGAAGTGACGGCATCACCCTTTTGAGGATGGGGAGTTGTGGGAGAGGTTGGCGCTGACCTGTGTGATACTTCTCGCTGGTGCTGGTTATGGATTTTTTTATTTATTTTTTTTTTTTAAATTGCAGATGGTGAACGAAACCTGATGACTGTAGTAACGTCCAAGATAGCTGATGTATTGCTTTTTTTGGTCAACAGGAGAGTTAAGCCTCCTGTTTTTCTGCCAGTGTATTTTTTTTTTAGCTCCTCTGTTCCAAGCTCCACAGGCTGTAAAGGGACAGTAGGAGAGAAGCAGCTGCAGCTCCTCCAGCCCCTTTATGCCTTCTGGGGAGTTGGCCCTGCCCCAGGTGATTGTAGGGAGGGCGGTGGGCAGGGCCCGGGGTATATAAGCCCCAGCCCCTGTGGAAGGAGCTCATTCTGCTCTGGGGCTTCTCTGGGGTTACAGCTCTGCTGAGTCTTCAGTGACCTGCAGCTTTGGGGGGACTCAGCTGTGGGGGTAGGGGTGTTTGAGAGGAGCAGAGGTGAGAAGTCTGAGGTAGAAACCTTCAGGACCAGGTAAAGTTTAGTGGTATGTATAGCAGAAAGGAGACTTTTATGCAGCTTTTTTTTCCCCTCTCTTTTTTTTTTTGTTTTTCCTCCCAAAGGTCAATAGTTTTCTAATGAGTGTTCAGGGTTAATTCATCTGCTTTCATTTCTTCCAGCTGCAGTGTCTTTTCTTGGGGAGGGACTCTTGGCCAGGAGGTGTAATGACAGGACAAGGGGAAATGGTTTTAAATTGGAAGAAAAAAGATTCAGATTAGATCTCAGGAAGAAATTTTTGACTCTGAGGGTGGTGAGAGCCTGGCCCAGGTTGCCCAGAGAAGCTGTGGATGTCCCATCCCTGGAGGGGTTCAAGGGCAGGTTGGAGGGGGCTTGGAGCAACCTGGTCTGGTGGGAGGTGTCCCTGCCCAGGGCAGGGGGCTTGGAACCAATGATCTTTGAGGTCCCTTCAACCCAAAACATTCGCTGATTCTTTCTTCCTCTCTTTCTTCTTCGCTGATTCTTTCTTCCTCTCTTTCTTCTTCGCTGATTCTTTCTTCCTCTCTTTCTTTCTTTCCTTCTTCTTAGCTGATGCTGCCTGCCTGCCTTCCTGCCGCCGTGCGACGCCGCCTGCTGTCGCCCGCTGTCGCTGTCGTCGTGGGTTCGTCCTCCTTCCATTAAAATGCTGTTATTTGAGTGTCAATTAAAGGTGCCTATTTATTGGTGTGTTCCTGTTTTCATAATGGTAGTACTTTTCCAGTTTTAACAAGTTAATGACTTGATTTGTTCTGGCTGCCTTGTCAAATATAGGACTTAAGTATACCTTTGTCCATGATAAGTGCTTAAATAATACTGTCGACTTTATTCTTGTGCTGTTTCCATTTATGTCATAAGTTTTAAGCAACAGCTTTCTTTGTTAAAATTCATTTTGGAGGTTGTATAAATTACTTGATATTTTTCTGACTATATATATTGTTCATTTGAATTGTGGTTAATAACAAAGCTGACTCATTTTGTGCTGACATCTGAAAAGCAGACTACGTAAAGTGGAATGCGAATGCAATAATAAAAGATCTTGGTATCTCTGAACTTGAGAGATGATTACTTAAGTAGTTAGAAACTAGGGTGTTGCAGCATGTAATGATAACGTTACACTAGCAAAAGGTGGTAAGCAAACAGGCAGGGACCTAATGACATTATGACAGTGCTGTTAATCATTTCCAGAGACATTAAACTTAGAATGTTAAAACTGAAATAACATTTAGATCTTCTTAAAGGTCAGCACTTAAGATGACATAAAGGCACTATGGCAGCATGGACTCATGCCCATGGGTGAGTGGTGATATAGCATCTCCTGGGGAGGAAACACAGAGTTAAATCAGGTGGTAATTGGGAAGGCTCATAAAGGAGATGCAGACTCTAAATAGTCTCCAGACCTTTCTCAAGTAGGAAGAGTAAAATGTGTAACATTTTCCCTCTACGCAAGTAGAGGCCCCTTTTGCCGTCTTCCCCACTGAATGTAAGCTCGCTCCATGTGGTCACTAATGGATGACTGAATTATGGCCGACAATGTTATATGGCTCTAACGGTAACATCCACTCACACAGTTTAATATCTATTTTTTGTTTTGCTTAAGAAACTGAACGTGCATTTAAAAGCAATTTACATTAATACAGTATTGCCTTCAGGCAAACATCATTCCTTCTTCTTGTGCTTTTGAACAGCCCAGCTATTGTTTGAAGTGAGTCATCGAAACAACTGGACTCTGGTCTTGCAGGTGTATGATTGTTACAAAATGGTAAAGAATTTTCTGACAGTTTTAGTTCAATCTGTTTTCACTTTGAATTGGCACTAGACAATGAAGAATTGTGTTCTGGTATTTAGATGAAGTGCTCTGAAGTGCTTAATTTCTGTCTGGCTTTCAGTGATGCATTTTCCTGACAGTCCAGTAGCATCTGACTTGGGCAGTGCTGCCAGCCAGATGTCCCTTCTCACTGTGTAGCGCACAGAAAAACCCTAGTCAAATTATAACTCTGTTTTGGATAGGAATAGTGTAATGGTATCAATGCACAGCTGTGAAAGTTAAATGAGTGCCAAAGGAAAGCCAAATACTTCTATAGTATTTTTATTGGATGTATATAAATGTACACACGTTTTCAGTATGAAGTGAATGACCAAGCTTTGTTCTTTATTGTTCCTTGTACTCTTCAAGGTTTTACCCTTCCCTCTCAGCCACATTGACGGAGTGAGTGAGAGGAGCAGCAGCAGCGCGAGGGCTGGAGCAGCAGCGCAGGGTCCGTCAGCATCATTCTGGTCATGGCAGAGCCTGGTCCTGCCCCTCACAGGATGATCTCCCTGCACTACACTGGAAGGAGGGGGCCAGGCGTTTCCCTGCCCCAGCCAGAGGCTTCACTGTTACGCTAATGGTGTGTTCAAAATGGCATCAATTAGTCTTGATACAGACTTTGTCAGGATGTCTCTGGCTTTGGCCGGCTGTGCCATCTTTCGAGCAGAGCTGTTTCTCCAGAATCCTTCTGTAGCTCAGTTCCTGTCCTGTCCCTCAGTCTGAGGGAATTCCTCTATTCTCTTCTGTGCTGTTTTGTTTGATGACGCTGAACTACAGTTGGAGATTGTTGTTTTGCAGATGCCTCATTGTACACGTCTCGTGCTGCTCAGTAGATGCCCCAGCCCAGGTTTGCAGCCGGTGGTGGAGCCACCTGAGGGGAAAGGGCCAGCCCTGGGTCTGGTCGTTTAGTGCTGTCTTTTTATGGTGAATAAAAAGGAGGGGTATTTGGGGAGTGATGATGTCATTTGGGGCCACGCGAGCATCACCAAAGTGGGCGATGATGTGGCAGAGGAGCAGGTGAGTTGGGGATGGGGGTCACACAGGGTTCCCCCCTAAAAGGTGGGTCATAGCTCTGAAATATCTGAAAAGTCATGGGGGGGGGGAGATTAAAAAATAACAAAACCCGTAAATATGAGCGTGAAGTGTTGAAATAGAGAACAATCTCTCATCTCATTTATATAGAGATGGAAAAGTAATATTTATGTATATAAAAGGAGTTCAGAACAAAATCCTATGTCTCTATGGATTCTGATTCTGTGATTCTATATTATAAAAATGATCTTATAAAAGTATTAAGAAATATTTATAAAAATATATTAGTGTCAAAATAGATGTCTAAGATAGTTTAAGTAGATATTCTACATAATAAGTGTTAATGTCAATGTGCAGGTTTGCAGCAGGTGGTGGAGCTGCCTGAGGGGAAGGGCCCAGCCCTGAGTCTGGTTGTTTGGTGCATTTTTTGGGGTGAAGAAAAACAATGTGTGTGTGTGACGATGTCATTTGGGGCAGCCCGATGTCACCGGGGGAGCAACAGTGCGACTGAGGAGCAGGTGAGTGGGGATTATGTGGGCCTCCCCCCAGAAGAAGCAGGTCACAGCCCTCAAACGTCTGTAAATTCAGGGTGGGGAGTGGGTGTTGGGGTTTTGGGCGTTGGTGGTTTAAAAATGTTAAAAGCTGTAAATGCGGGGGTGAGGTATTGGAATAGAGAACAATCTCTCATTTTTCTATATATTGAAAAATAATATTCCTGTATGTATATAAAAGGAATTCAAAATACCAACCTGTATCTCTAAGGATTCTGTATTACATAAAGGAGTTTAGACAATGAAAAGATTTTTTAAAATTTATTTATAAAGAGATACTGAAGTGTCAAAACAGATGTCTAAACAGCTTGCTAGTCTAATTAGATGTTCTCTATCATACGTGTTAATATAGAAGTCTAAATAGATCTGTTAACAGATGTTCTATTTAAGTGCAAAAAGAATGTATTTTCCCTAAATCTGTATATGTGTAAGTAAATGGACACAAAGGTGTAAAAGCCTGTGCTATAGATAGCTCTAAACTGCAAAGAAAGCCTATCACTAGAAGGGATTTAAAAACTGGCCCTCCCCTCTAATCTCTCCTGAAGGTGTAAAAGCGCTTTCAGAAGCTACGTCTTCCCCCGTTTCCCCTCCCGCTCCGGGGAGCTGGATTCTGTGTAGCGGGAAAGGAGGAAAAAAACCCACCCTCATTTTCCTGCAGGGAAGCAGAAATCCCCGATGTTTCTGTGGTGGTGAAGGCGGCACCGCCACCTCCCTTCCTGGTCCCCGGCGGACTCGCTGCTGTCGCCCCCATGGCCCCGGGGCCACACACAGAGCGCTGCACCGTCCCTGGGGCTGGTTTTGGGGTAAAAACTGCAGGGTTTTGGTGCAGAGGCGAGAGCTGTGGCTGCCTGGGCTGTGAGCGGGAAGCCCTGCCGCCGGTACGTGGTTACGGTCCCTGCGTGGAGAGAAGCGGGTTGAGAGCAGTCACCGCTGCTCACCCCAGTGAGGTCTCAGAGGGGGGACATGGAAGGGGGGGCCAGGCACCCGGCAGCCAAAGGCCGGAGCTGCACGTGGGCAGTGACCCGACCCCTCCTCCGAACCACCTTTGGCTGCGTCTCCTGAGAACTTGGCTCTGCCCCCTGCCCGTCTAGGCCACGCCCCGGGCCCGACCTGGCCGCGCCTTCCAGGGAACGGTTGTGCCAGGCCTGAAGGAGAAGCGGCCACCCCTCCAACCCCCCCCCCCGGAGCTCCAGTGGCCTCCCCGCCATCCGGAACAGGTTCTGCAGTGCCCAGCCCCGGAAGCGGCCGTTAGCGCGGAGATACCGGTTC